ATCTGATGAGAAACTAGAACAAGATTCATAATCTTTACTTACAACTTGCGTGGTTTCAAATTTGACAAAAAACTCTTTATTTCATATTTTTTAATGTTCAAACTATTGAATAGAAAAAATAAAATTTTAAAATGTATTTTAAAACAGAAATCTGGACTGCTTAAACACGTACATGTCAGAGTTTGATCAAGTTTTAAAAGTCTGCCTAACGCACAACATACAAAAACTTCTTTCTCCCTTTGCTAAACTGGCTTCTGATATTCTCAATTTTTTATTTTTGGTAAATTTTCAATCATTTTTTATTTCTTTGTTTATTATAAAGATAAAACATTTATTATTAATAATAAAGTTGGTATAGTTTGAAGTGCAATGATATTGTTTTGCTTTTCATTAATATAATATAATAATTTATTTTAAGAATTATGAAAAGTGGACTGATTTCAAGACAATAATGAGTAGAGTGATGAAGTTTCTCTTCTCCGGTAACAAGAACATCGTCAGCATCTCATCCAACTTCATATCTCTGGTCATTAATGATCACATTCAGTTTTTTTCGAACCACCTAGATGAAATACTGAACAGCATATTGTTCTATGGTCTGTTTTGTTTCTTTGCTGCTGTGAAAATAATAAAATTAATAATAATTATATTGTCGTTATTAATTATTATTTCCTACCCACAGACAATCAAATATTGATACCATTGTTGCCAGCACTCTATGCTAGCGACCAAAGAAACTTGATAGTTAAATATTTCAAAGTATTATTGAGCGATTTGATGTTAACGCTAAATTCAAAAGTTCGATTTTCATTATGCCAACTCGTCCTCTCTGTCTTCGAAAAACAACCAAATGTATGTTTGTACATGTGTGTGTGTGTGTGTGTGTGTGTGTGTGTGAGTGTGTGTGTGTGTGCGTGTGCGCGCGTGTGTATTATTTGAGCGCACAAATTACATTCATTTTAGATTTGCGAAGAAAATTTCGAACTGCTGCTAAAGTTTCTCTCTTTCGACGATTCCAAACATCTCATTGTTGACGTCATAAACAAAATTTATCTGACCAATGAGAGGCTTTCAAGTCTGACCAATGAGAGGCTTTCAAGTCTGACCAATGAGGGGCTTTCAAGTGATCACATGACCAATCAAACTAACTTCAAATTGGTTCTTTTAAACAGGAGGGTCATTAAAGGTTCAAATTTTTCAACTCCAACACCAACAACATCTTTAACAACTCCAACACCAACAACATCTTCAACAACTGCAACTCCAACAACAACATCTTCAACAACTCCAACAACAACATCTTCAACAACTCCAACAACAACAT